TCCCCCCTCAACAATCACTCAACCCCCTACCTCTTCCAACCCCAAGAAAGCCGTCCCCCCATCCCTCCAGAGCCCCAACTCTCACCAGGAGATCCGGAAGGCTTAAAGAAGAGCCCCATCGCTACAGCCTCCGGCACGTCTCGGGGCTCTATAAGACCGGCGGCCCACGAGGCACGGGCTTAAGAGGCGCTCTATGGTGTGCTCTCGTCTGTGCTCAGATCTCACTACGTTGTTCACGACGGCGGATGACAATTACTAAATATATATTAACGTGGATATGTGCTCTTGGGGAGGTTCCAATAATTTGTATTGGGTTTTAATATTTAGTTAATTTATTACGCATCTCATGTAAATCCTGTGGGAAGTAGTGGACCCCCATATTCATCATGTGGGCAGTAGTGGACCCCCATACACATCGTGTGGGCGGTAGTGGACCCCATACCTATCATGTGGGTGGTAGTGGACCCCATACCCATCCTATGGGCGGCATTGGAAAACATCCCATAATGGGATCATTTAAGCATTTAAGCAATTTATTAAGTCTTGATAAGACAGTTACACAGTTTTATATATATATATATATATATATATATATATATATATATATATATATATATATATATATATATATATATATATATCAATAATCTTTTATGTAAAAGTGAAAGAACTGGACGACAACAATCTTTTTACAATGACCTGCTAACGTAATAGTCTGTTGACGTCCGAACTTTTCTCGAACGGTACTACGCTGACGTCCTCTGTTCGAATCGCAAAGCTGTAAATGCAGCCCGTCTTCATAAACAAAGTCCAAAGTCCATTCTATGTACCCGCCAAACCCCCTGTTTATGCAACCCGTCCTCGACTCAAGTCCATTACATCCAGCGGTCGCCCCCACAGACGCATTCATAAATTTTCACATGCTGTTCATTCAAAACGGGAATTTTCTCAAATATTAATTAATATTATAATATATTAGCATTTTGTGCATATATAGGTTAGGTTAGGTGTTTAGGTTCTGTTGGTGATTATTTGTATTTGAAGTACGTGGGTGAAGCATTTACAGCGTTGTGGTTCGAACAGAGGTCGTCAGCGAAGCACTGTTCGAGAAAAGTTCGGACGTCAATAGTTGTGAATCGTGTGTAAACCGGTTTTTCATTAATACACAGCGGGTTTGGCGGCTGGATTAACGAGCCAGCCCATCCTCCAAACAAAGACCCAAAAAGTGATTCCATGCACCCACCAAACACCCTGTTTATGAACGAAAAACAGTTTACACGATTCACAACTGATTTCGTTCGAACACTTCCGGAACAAGTGCTTCACTGACGACTTGTGTTCGAACCACAACGCTGTAAATGCTTCACCCACGTACTTCAAATACAAATAATCGCCAACAGAACCTAAACAGCTAACCTAACCTAACCTAACCTAACCAGTGCAAAACTATATTCAAAACTATAATGAATTCATATGAGAACAAATTATTTTTAATGTTCAATACTTAAAAAAATAGATAAATACGTCTTATGTGATGGCTGCTGTTGGCAACACTGGCTTGAGAACGCGTTACCAATCAGCAATCAGTACAACCTTCCACACGTGACCCAACCGAGGTCATACTGGGGTCACCAAGGTCATACTGGGGTCAATGAGGTCAGACTTGGGTCACCAAGGTCATACTGGGGTCACCGAGGTCAGTCTGGGGTCACCGAGGTCAGTCTGGGGTCACCAAGGTCAGCCTGGGGTCACTGAGGTCAGCCTGGGGTCACCGAGGTCAGCCTGGGGTCACCGAGATCAGCTTGGAGTCACCGAGATCAGCCTGGGGTCACGGAGGCCACTCTGGAGTTACCGAGGTCAGCCTGGGGGTCACCCTGGAGTTACCGAGGTCAGCCTGGGGGTCACGGAGGTCACCCTGGAGTTACCGAGGTCAGTCTGGGGTCACGGAGGTCACCCTGGGGGTCACCGAGGTCACCCTGGAGTTACCGAGGTCATACTGGTTCAGTTTTGTTCAAGTTCTGTGCGTCCATACATGCCCTATTATACCATGGATTCTTCTTTTGCTTCTCGGATAATTTAAGAAATATTAGTAATTATTGACACCCATAAAATTTTCGTGGATTTAAGTGATCAAGTGTGAAATATTGGTGGTGATGCCCTAAGAGTTTTTTGTGATCGTTCAAAATCATTTCGTTACAGACTCGTACAGCTTTCATTACTTACTAATTTTATATTTTCTTAGAGAAGAAGAGGGGCAAAATAGGGGATGGGTGTGGGGGTAGAGAGGACGAGAGGGGGTTGACGAGAGGGGGGACGGAGGGGGGGGGGTTGGGGGATAAGAGGGGTAACTAAGAGGATAGGGAAGGAGGGGGAGGGTCAGAGGGGAAGATGAGAGAAGTGGAGGTGGGGGTAGAAACAGACTACGATTGATTGATAAAGATTAAGCCACCCAAGAGGTGGCACGGGCATGAATAGCCCGTAAAACAGACTACGCCTGCCACTGCCGAATATACCCTCCTGGTATGCTATAAGAGACAACGTCCATCCATAGCTGGTGGCCAGACACTTCCGGATAGCCTCACTTAAATATGTACTGGGAATGGTCTGGGGTACGGGACAGGCATAGGCTGGTCCGGGTATTGGCACAAGTTAAATGCTTTCAGAAATATTAGTATTTATAAACACTCCCTAGGCCATTTTCCAGAAAGCTTTCCATGGGATCAAGTTTGAAATATTGCATGCAATTCACGTGGTTTTTCATTATAAAATGTATTAGACCCATACAGTTGTTTCAGTGGTTGATAATAAAATTTTCTAAGAAAAAGGGGTGAGGGGGGAATAGATGTATATATAGGTGGATAGATAAATGGATGGATGGAGGGATGGGAGAAAGTCCCGGGCAACGTTGGGTACAACCCCTAGTGTCTGTGTGTATATAGATATGTATACATATAGTATGATGGTATACATGTTGACCCAAGCAGCCAAGAGCAGGAAATTGTTAGAAGTACATGTTGAATCATCACATGCAGACACCTTAAATAATCACTTGCATGTGGCAAACATTGAAGCTGACATGTATATCTACGTTAACCATATCAGCTCAAGTTCTCCTCTGGGGTTTGTGAGCAAATGTTACACTTTGAAGTTCGACTTTGACCCTCAGGAGGTTTTGACGTCATGTGAGAACATTCATTTCAAGAAAAATATTTGATCAGATTCATCATCTGAAAAAAAGAAAAAGTCATTTGACAAAATACGTGCTGTTGATGTTATCTTTAATATTTATTGAGTCACATACTATCAACCACGACCTATTAATAGACACAAGAGAACAAAGATAAGATGTTCTCTAGCCAATATCTCAAGACATCCTCAAATGCCTATATCACAAATCATTTAAAAGCATTATATCATTAAATTCAGCTTAGTCAACATGAGGTCAGGTGGTAAATACTGAAATAATACCAGTTATATGGTTAAGTTTACGTCCCCTAACAGACTGTAATCTTTACATTGATATTATCTAAACTGAATCAATAGAGCACTTGAATCGAACCTTATACTAGCATTATATATTCGTAATGGCTTAATTCCTTGACATAAAGACCTGCCGAATTGTCCAACGTTCAACGTATTTGCTCAGATGTTACAAGAGCGAGTATTGATGGGTTATATCAACCGTGTTAATGAGAGGTGTACCATGGAGCCGGGTGTGAGGGATGACCAGCAGCCATTAATATTATAACCAGCGGGACCAACACTCACACCCCCCAACACTGTGATTGTTTATCATGCGTAACTCATTCCCCGCGGGGCTTACAATCCTAACAGATATCCAAGATACGCATCCCATGATATCTTCATTCCGCGCGAGGCGGTGAGGGGCTGGGAAAACACCAAGATCTAAAGTTTAGATAGATAATTCGTAAAAAATACGTCACATATTGAGTTTATCGATGAGAACATTCTACGGCGACGATGAGAATCCGCCCACCTGTCGCGGTGTCCTCGTTCCTGTCCCTCTCGACTTGGGCTTCGGCCCGTCGTGTCCGGGACCTTTCCTGGGTGATGTCGATGGCGGTGGTTCGATAAATTACTCCCATCTTCCGTAAATATTTGCACTTTCAATTTTGCTTTTAAGATATCGTATATATTCACTAAACGAGCGACATTATGTTAAAGTTCTCACTGTAACCAAAATTCCTGGCTTAAGTTTCGACGACGAAGATCAATAATCACCTCGACGTATCTTCTTAAAGCACCCGCCTACATGGGTGAAGCCCCCACGTGATTGGCCGACTTTATCCCGCGCGGCCCGCTGATTGGCGGCCGAACTGAGTTGCGCGGTAAGGCTCCTTGTTCTGTAGGTGGCGGCTAATTACAGTGTCTTCACATGTTCCCAACCTCTGACCTGTGTGCTCCACCAGGTTACTACATTACTGTAATTAATAATTTCAGGTAGTGTTCCTCAGTAGTTCAGAACTTGTAGAAATATCAAGTTGCGTTTGTCTTCTTCCAAAGACGGTGGGATGAGATAACAGTAAATGTTATCTAATGGCTGCCAGGACGGAGCCGTCGTGTGTACAACCATCCTGTAGTCCAGTGTGTGGGGCTACTCCTACATTACAGTGCAAGACTAAGAAACTTAATTTGCATATACAGCGCACATTTCAGTGTATGGCGCCTTGGAATATATATATTTTATGCGGTTGAAAGACGGTGTGAAGTCACAGCCATTTTGTTTTGACTGTGTTGACGTTTCTACGCATCTTCCTGTGCCAGCTTTCGTTACACCACCGAGCACAACCAGTCGCTAATAGTGAGGTGAACGTATTAAGATAAATATCCCAAAATGCAGGCGATGAGTCGCAATAACGTGGCTAAAGTATATTGACCAGACCACACACTAGAAGGTGAAGGGACGACACACTTCGCCGTCGTCCCTTCACCTTCTAGTGTGTGTGGTTTGGTCAACATCCCAAAATGAATAGAGTTTGTTCTGCTTCTTAAACATTCAGAGAGTATAAAAAAGTGACCAAGAAAAGAAGCAGATGTGTACGGAACAGCGCAGAATTACACCAGCCTTGAAAGCCTTACGTGAACCTGACGAGAGCTGAACAACCTTTAGTTCAGAGTCAGTACTGTATGTGTTGAACTCGGTAACGCTGCACGCTAACAGGCACGTGCGAATGTGCATATGTGCAGCTGAACAACAATTCTGATAATGAACTCAAGTGTTGAACACATACATTAGTATAAAGTTTGTTATTTTGTAAAAAGAAAAATGTACGATTCTTAGATCATTGTTTGGCTAAGAAGAGAATGATCGTGGACTGTTAATTGCAGCCGAGTAATTAAGAAATTAGCGAAGTGTAATGTTTTCAGAACAAAAAAAAAGTATATGCATCCACCTCTTTAAAACAAAAAATTATAATCATTGACTATTCTAAACTGTTATACCAACAATCTGGAAACCTTAGAAATCAGTGACTGGTAAGATAAGGTCTACGATACAACTTGTAAGATCGATACAACACCTTCAGCTGAAAGTTTTGAAAAATACCTTCTAAGATTTGGTCAATGTCTGGACACAGTAGCAGCGATCAGTGACACGCTACGGTGTATAATATCATGTGTTTAGTTGGACAAAATACTTTAAGGAAATATGCCAGACTTGGCACAGTACCGTCAAGCTGAGTCATTACAGAATACAGCAACTCTTTTTGTCCGTGTTTTAGCTGGACTACAATACTCCCAGTTACACCCAGCAGCTCCCAGGAGAGCATTATGCACGAGGGACTAATCACAGCCTCACTTCCCAGTGACATCTGACAAGTCGTTAGTGACGAGTCGTTGGAGTGACGTTAGTGACGACTCGTGGAGTGTCGTCACTAACCCGAGGCACTAACCGGAGCCTCACTACAGTGTCTCAGGTACGTGAAGCCTCCCTCAGTAACTGTGTGTTACTGAGCAGCTTCACTGCTGCTCGGTACACTATCGTACACCAGTCTCTTGTTGTCTCCTGTGTGGCTTAACTTGTAACTCATCAGAATTATTATCATATTTTTGTATATTTTTCTGCAGTAATTCGCTCAAATCACGACCTTAATAACTTATTTTGGTGAAACTATTTACTGTTTATAGACATATCGGTCCGTTTTATATATTTTATATACTGATTTGCTTTCAATTTCGACATGAAAATATACTTCTTGCAATGCTCCGCCGTCAATCAAAACCTGCAATTAATATAGTCTAAGCAACTTGTATTTCTTGGCCACCGCTGTAGCGTCAAAATAAAATATTAGTTTTTAGATTTAGATTTAGATTTTTAGATTTTTTATTCAGGTAAAGGTACATACATTGAGTTACATACATAATGTTGGATTTAAAGATAGAGAATGTACATACAATACCTAAAGCCACTAGTACGCATAGCGTTTCGGGCTAATTTATTGCTAATTTATTGCTAATACAATTTTCAAGAGTAATTCAAGAGTCTTCACAGAGACATAATAACATGGGATAAAAACCCACAATTGTGTATTTGGGAAATTTATGTAAGGAATTTACACCAAGACTTTCACACTCTTTCACACTTTATCAAGGCCTGAGTGTGTGATTAGACGTTCAGATGTAAGTCTCGTCCTGACCACACACTCAGACCTTGACAAAGCACTCAGGAGAGTGTGAAAGACTTGGTGTAAATTCCTTATATAAATTTCACAAATACACAAGTGTGGAGTTTTATCCTATTTTCAAGAGTGTCCGAAGTAGAAAATTGATCAGATTGAGAAAGATAACAGCAATGTTATCTTGTCCATTTTAACCCAACCACTTAGACTGGACGGTAGAGCGACGGTCTCGCTTCTTACAGGTCGGCGTTCAATCCCCGACCGTCCAAGTGGTTCGGGCACTATTCCTTCCCTTCATCCCATCACAAATCCTTATCCTGACCCCTTCCAAGCGCTATATAGTCATGTAATGGCTTGGCGCTCTGTCTTTGCTTCAACCTTGTCCATTTTAAGTTCAAATTATTTTATCACGTCAGTAAACAAAAAATTCTTATTCAGATTCAGAAATATTTTCCGTAAAAACTTATTGCAAATGATTGCAACTATTGCTGAGCTAAACAGGCGTAGAACAATCAATGAAACTTAAATTTTTTGGCATAAAGTTCGAAATATTTAACCTATAATTTAAAAGGTGACAGATATTGGGAAAAACATGACAGATATTGGGAAAAACATGACAGATATTGGGAAAAACATGACAGATATTGGGAAAAACAAAGTGTATTTTACCATTAGAGAAGTAAAGTAGATTTCGGCACAATTTATTTTACTAAAATGGGTTATCGAAAAGACAATATTAAATACCAATGAATATACCCTTCTCGTAACATGAAGTTAAAAAATACTGAGGTCGTGAAAAATGTATATATATACATATTCTGGGGCTATCCAGGCTCAAAATCATTTCAAACACACAAACATACATGTGTCTGTATATGTGATCTTACTGGTCACCTGTCTCTGTATATCTGATCTTACTGGTCATATATCTGTGATATTACTGGTCACGTGTGTCTATGAGATCTTACTTGACATGTGTCTGTGAATGTGATCTTACTGGTCCTCTGAGAGAGATACACAGAGGCAGAGACAGAGAAAGAGAGCGAGAGAGTGTGTGAGAGAGAGAGAGAGAGAGAGAGAGAGAGAGAGAGAGAGAGAGAGAGAGAGAGAGAGAGAGAGAGAGAGAGAGAGAGAGAGAGAGGAGGAGAGATATGGGGGAGGGGGCGAGAGCTGTGGAGTGAGAGCGAGCAGAGAGAGGCAGGAAGGAGATAAGTATGAGAACGTTCAGGTGTTCCTCACCAGTTGTCTGTGATGGTGGTGTTGGTGGGCGCACTTGAGAGCCATCTAGTGGCACGAGGCTGTACTCTCCCCCAGCTTACACGTCCACACCAGGCTGTACTCTCCCCCAGCTTACACGTCCACACGAGGCTGTACTCTCCCACAACTTACACGTCCACACGAGGCTGTACTCTCCCCCAGCTTACACGTCCACACGAGGCTGTACTCTCCCCCAGCTTACACGTCCACACGAGGCTGTACTCTCCCACAACTTACACGTCCACACGAGGCTGTACTCTCCCCCAGCTTACACGTCCACACGAGGCTGTACTCTCCCCCAGCTTACACGTCCACACGAGGCTGTACTGCTGGCCATCCTTAGCGTCCTCTTGACTTTGTCTGCGTCTTCATGGACCATCTTGATTCTTGTCTTTATTTGCTTCAAAGTTATTTGACATACAACTTCGAAAAAGTCATTTTTCTCGTGGACCGTCTCGCTATTTCATCGATTGCCTCCTGTAGCACTATTTGCACATCTGACGGGATACACATTAATCTGATTTTAGTCCCATTTTTCGTTGTTTAATATATTTTCTACACTGACTTGAGGGTTGGTAGGAGCCCGTAGCAAGATTGGTATAGTGCTGTTTTAGTTGTTAGTGCTGCTGCTGTTATTACTAGTGCTGCTGCTGTTATTACTAGTGCTGCTGCTGTTATTACTAGTGCTGCTGCTGTTATTACTAGTGCTGCTGCTGCTGTTATTACTAGTGCTGCTGCTGTTATTACTAGTGCTGCTGCTGCTGTTATTACTAGTGCTGCTGCTGCTGTTATTACTAGTGCTGCTGCTGTTATTACTAGTGCTGCTGCTGTTATTACTAGTGCTGCTGCTGTTATTACTAGTGCTGCTGCTGTTATTACTAGTGCTGCTGCTGCTGTTATTACTAGTGCTGCTGCTGTTATTACTAGTGCTGCTGCTGCTGTTATTACTAGTGCTGCTGCTGTTATTACTAGTGCTGCTGCTGTTATTACTAGTGCTGCTGCTGTTATTACTAGTGCTGCTGCTGTTATTACTAGTGCTGCTGCTGTTATTACTAGTGCTGCTGCTGTTATTACTAGTAATAACAGCTTCATGCCCGTATCCCGTCGGTCCAGCAAGACCTACAATTATCTTAACGTTCATTATTTAATAAAAAACAATGCTACGCACTTAAATTAATTTAGAAACCTTATTCTTACCTTCTCGTACCTGCTCATGACCTCTTATCTTACTCTTTTATCTTATACATTTTCCTGTACCTTCCTCTCTTCTTTACGGGCTATTCATGCCCGTGCCACCTCTTTGGTGGCTTAATCTTCATAAAATGTTTCAATCTCACTCTTATCACTCGACTTGATAATGGTGCCGGACGGACCGAAACGTCGTCGCTGGTCCATCTTATGAGTTGTGGTTTGGTCATCTTAATTTTGACAAGAAATTCAAGACATCTATTTGCCAAATATTAATTGACTGAAATGCCAGGATGAAGTCAAATAAAAAATGAAATCTGAAGACTTTAAGGTCCCAGCTGGTGCTGCCCAGCTGGTCCTGCCCAGCTGGTGCTGCCCAGCTGGTGCTGCCCAGCTGGTGCTGCCCAGCTGGTGCTGCCCAGCTGGTGCTGCCCAGCTGGTGCTGCCCACCTGGTGCTGCCCAGCTGGTGCTGCCCACCTGGTGCTGCCCAGCTGGTGCTGCCCAGCTGGTGCTGCCCAGCTGGTGCTGCCCAGCTGGTGCTGCCCAGCGTTCTGTCGGTGCTGAAGTGTTTGAGATACGCGATAGTTTAGACATTTTTTTAACAATCTTAGAAGCGATCTCTTTAACCCACAAAGGATTAATTTTATGCAACCCAAATCTTATATTTAACGTATTATCATTATATCTAATTAGGCTAGATTGAATGATACTTTTTTGTCAATAAATGATTTGCTTAAGGTAAATAGACATTTAGAGTCTAATGCAAAGGTTGATTAGATCATTCAACTCTATATCCAAAATAAATGAGCAACGGATTTGATTCCTGCTCTGATCTTGCACTATTTTGACGTTAAAGAATGTATTTGGTCAAGGATTTTACCGACTGACCGATGTACAGCTTATCTTAACTCTTACAATGTATCTAAGAGACACACATCAACTTAGCATCGGGGAATTCTTTATCAGAATATTTTAGCCTGCGCTCATAGCTTTAAAAAACAAACTAATGATAAAATTGATAAATTTTATCAATTATTTAAATTGATAATGATAAAACTGTGCAGGAAATTTGTGCCACATTCTGAGTATATGGATGAATAACCATATTTTTGGAGTGATTACCTTTACAACAAGGGAAGAGAATTATCAAGGGAAAACACCAAGCCATTACGACTATATAGCACTTGGAAGGGGTCAGGATAAGGATTTGGGATGGGACAGGGAGGGGAAGGAATGGTGCCCAACCACTTGGACGGTAGGGGATTGAACGCTGACCTGCATGAAGCGAGACTGTCGCTCTACTGTCCACCCCAAATGGTTAGAGGATGATAAGATGTTTTCTTGACCTGCATTAAAGCTGTATTTTTAACAGATTTGGTACATTGCAGCTTAAGAGGCAATCGCAAATATTTTCGACTTGTGTTCCATAAATTCAGGATTACACACACACACAGTTAAGCTCTCAAAAACATTGAGGGAAATAATGAATATCTCACCTTAATGTGGTGATTGGAATTAAAAAGCACATATAAACGTTAGTAAGTTTTCAATTAACACTGAACAAATTTGGGCCTTGTCTGGCCAGACAAGGCATCTATACCACTTAATACATCTATACCACTTAATATCAGTAAGTAATATACTGGACAAAATGCTAGTTAAAAAAAACTTCACGTATAAATTACTAAATACTGGGGATAATGGGTTTTCCATTGTCACGCCAAACACCTGGACATAGAATTTACCATTAAAAACAAAGGTATTATTCTTAACACAAAGTTTAATCAAATTAATATTGCAAACAGGCAATACCAAGTTATTTTTAAGTAGTTGGGTCAACATGTATTTCAATCGATGATCAACTGGGAATCCAGTAAACAAAGTTGTCACTTAGGAACACACAATGGCTGAATGATACATTCAGATTTGTTTACTTAATAATTCAACAACAGTTCTTAAGGAGAGGCGTAGACGCAGCTCCCACTAAGGAGGCTCGAATCTGAACAAGGTACCTCACAATTTGTGTCACTTTCTTTCTGCACTCTAAATTATATTCATTTTCGGTACTCTGGGCCAAATATTTTTGTTGCTAATTGTTAATTATATTTCCTTGAACGTCACATGTTAAAACGTTCATTTGATTTTCTCTCTCTGCTTTGGTCCTGACACTTTTAACGAGGGGAAAGTGCTAAATTTATTTTTATGTTTCACTGTGGCTTTCCTTCCATTTTAAGGTTAATAGTCCTGTGACCACCCACACACACACACACACACACACACACACACACGGCCTCGTAGCCTGGTGGAGGGCCTCGTAGCCTGGTGGATAGCGCGCAGGACTCGTAATTCTGTGGCGCGGGTTCGATTCCCGCACGAGGCAGAAACAAATGGGCAAAGTTTCTTTCACCCTGAATGCCCCTGTTACCTAGCAGTAAATAGGTACCTGGGAGTTAGTCAGCTGTCACGGGCTGCTTCCTGGGGTGTATGTGTGTGGTGTGTGGAAAAAAAAGTAGTTAGTAAACAGTTGATTGACAGTTGAGAGGCGGGCCAAAAGAGCAAAGCTCAACCCCCGCAAACACAACTAGGTGAATACACACACAAGAAACTCTGCCCATTTATTTCTGTCAGGGTTCGATTAGAAAGAAAGAATTACATAGAGAAATATGTAGTAGATATAATAGAGGAAAATAGATTGGTTAGAAAGGAAGGGTTCAAGAGCTAAGAGCTCGATTCTGCAGACTCAAATAGTAAATACAAAAATTAAATACATACACACACACACGGAACTAACAGCGCTTGAGAGTCATAACCGAAAGGGCTTGGGTTCGACTCTCGGCCCAGACAGAAACAAATGGGCAAAGTTTCTTTCATCTGATGCCTCTGTTTCCCTAAAGTAAAAGATATATTTTTTAATATTATTTTTTTTTACCACAGACGTGGCCTCACATTTACAATGCTAACCAGCATATATATACATTTTCTTCTGTCCTCTATGTCCTTCATTAGTTCCATATATGAATGTCTCCTCACGATATTTATCATAATGTTTAATGCTACAACTTTCAGGTCTTTGTGAATTTGTTTGATCCGTAAGATTTTCATCAGATATTTGTTTAAGTATTCTCTTTGTCACTGCTAATGAAACACCAATATTAATTTCTACTACAGGCTGTCTTTGTAAGTATGTCAACAGTGTCATCTTGAGGTTATCTTGAGATGATTTCGGGGCATAGCATCCCCGCGGCCCGGTCCTCGACCAGATCTTTTTGTTACACATCCTTACGAAGCAGCCCATAGCAGCTGTCTAACTCCCAGGTACCTATTTACTGCTAGGAAAGTCATGCTTTGAGACGCCAACTTGTGATAGAAAGCAAAGGAATTTAATTTCAAATCTGTTTTCTTTAGCAGCTAAATCATTTAACATAATTTTAATTCATTGTGTCAGGGGACAGGCAGCCAGAGTGTATTCATACACCTTAGGCTTATATTGAGGCTCTCCCCCTCCCCCCAAGACCAAATTACTGACCCCGCCCAGGATGCAACCCCACAACATGCTGACTAACTCCTGAATACCTACTTACCGCTAGGTGAACAGAGGCATTAGGTGAAATAAAAATGTGCCCAACCATTTCTGTCCCGCCCGGGATTCTAACCCGGAATTCCCTATTGTGCATCGAGAACGAAGCCGACTGTAATACCAGGATCCCTTAATCTATAGGAATATCTCAGACTACATTCTGGGTGTTACTGCTAAGTGCGTTCTATGCCAGGAGTGCACGCTGCGACTCACATTATATCAATTATATATTCCAGTATATATGTAAGAGTACAAGTCCACAAATAGGTACCAGGGAGATTGGAAGCTGCCACTGGTTGCATCTCGGGGGGTGCTCGCGTGCGTGTGAGAAATATATGTAGTAGATATTAGACAACCGTCAGTTAGACAGGCGGGGCCCAAGAGCATGCACCTCGATCCTGCAGACATAAATAGTAAATACAAATATTGAATACCTTATTTACAAAAGAGGTCACCGTAAATTACAGTTCCTCATATAATTTATTTTTTTTGCAGGTTGCGTGTTCATGGAGTCTGAGGCTGGCGGAGTCTGAGGCTGGCGGAGTCTGAGGCTGGCGGAGTCTGAGGCTGGCGGAGTCTGAGGCTGGCGGAGTCTGAGGCTGGCGGAGTCTGAGGCTGGCGGAGTCTGAGGCTGGCGGAAAAACGAGTCACATCAAAAATAATCTACAACAGCGAACTGGGAAAACTGTAAAAAAAAAAAAATAAGCTTTATAAAACCACAGTTCCCGCGAGGAGTACCCATATCAACACAGGAATTGTATAGCCTATTTCAAGTTTAAAAAAAATGTCACCCACTTAGGATATTGTTGGATGATTCTGATCACTTAGATTATGATGGATGGCTCTGTGATTACGTGGGATAATGTTAGATGTTTCTATGACCATATTGGGTAAGACTGAATGTGTAGGTCACCACGTGAGATTATTTCTTGAAACATAGTAACGAGAAAAATAGGCTTACCTAGATCAAAATAAAACATTCTGTGCGCATGGTCCGTGCGCACAGTGGTGCCAAGTCGCTGCAGTGCGATAAACTGGTTAAAACATGTCATTTAAAGACCTTAAAACTGTCAAATACGTAGTTACAGTTTACTTGTCGTCCAATTTAATGAACTCATACATTAACCTTTGTTAAATTGGCAATAATGATGCGTAATTTAATTCTCTGCCTCAATTTTCAGATTTTGTTTACTATTTTCGTTTGAAAATATGATACATTATCCAACGATAATAAGTTTGTTAATATAACCAATTCTTGTCCTGACTCATATACATGTATGTATATCATTTATATACATATGTATGAAATTCATATTCATAGAACACCATTCACTGAAATATGTATACCAGTAAGTCACATATGTACACTGTTTATGGACATTATAATTTATATATATATATCTCTACATATTAAATGCACAATTTATGCACCATTCATGAACTTGATATATATATTATACATGCGCATATGAGCACCCCCCACCCCCAACACACTACCCCCCCTCTCACTCAAACACCATCCCCCCCCACATCAACCCACCCCAGCCCCGCACACCCTCGCTACAACCCCCCCCCCCAGCCACCACCCTATCCCCACCCACACAAACCAACCATTCCAGCTTGTATCTTTGCTCTCCCAACCACGAGTAAAGCAACACCCAGGAACCAAGAGACACAGAAAAAAACTTTTAAGGTTATGGTTACGTCACAACTACCATTGTTACCAGTCAACACAACTACCATTGTTACCAGTCAACACAACTACCATTGTTACCAGTCAACACAACTACCATTGTTACCAGTCAACACTACCATTGTTACCAGTCAACACTACCATTGTTACCAGTCAACACAACTACCATTGTTACCAGTCAACACAACTACCATTGTTACCAGTCAACACAACTACCATTGTTACCAGTCACAACTACCATTGTTACCAGTCAACACAACTACCATTGTTACCAGTCAACACAACTACCATTGTTACCAGTCAACACAACTACCATTGTTACCAGTCAACACAACTACCATTGTTACCAGTCAACACAACTACCATTGTTACCAGTCAACACAACTACCATTGTTACCAGTCAACACAACTACCATTGTTACCAGTCAACACAACTACCATTGTTACCAGTCAACACAACTACCATTTGCACCAAGAAATCACATTAATGTCTTGTATCAGTGAGAAAATCAGTAGAAGCGATGATGAGGATTCGAGCCTGACCATTGGTTCGCCCCCAATCAATTCTGTAACGACATGCCCAAAAGTAATGCAACCTGGGATTCAACTGAATCCTCTGGGGAGGAAGCCCTGAGGCTTCCATTGAATTCCCAATCAGGGTTACACGCATTATTGGAGCTTGAAGACTCCAATTCTTGAAGACCCTGGAGGTAAAACTCTTATACCACAGCCAGAGTGCATGCTATGTGTGAAACCCTCATTGGGCTTCAGTGGAAGCCTCAGGGGCCCTCCCTAGAGGATTCAGTTGAATCCTCATCATGGCTTCTATTGATTTTCTCACTGATACACCATTGTTGCCAGTCAACGCAACTACCATTGTTACCAACCCACATAACTACAATAACAATAGAACTTAATTATGTTTCCAAAATCAATATATTTCTATTTCTAGATCGTCCCTATGTTGTTGAAATCAGAAATGATGCGAGGAATCCCTGTGGTAACGAGGATTCGGAAGCTTGGTAATGAAGCTTCAGGTGCTTGGTAACGATGCTTCGTATGCTCAGTAACGAGGCTTTAGGTGCATGGTAACGTGGCCTTTGAGAGCTTAGTAACAAGTATTCAGAAGCTTCGTAACGGAAATAAAATTTAACACCTGGTGGAACCCAGACCAAAAGACTATTTTCATAACTCGATGTTATAGAAAAGGAGGTGATTTCTTTATTATTTTTTCCAATACTTTGTTGTGATTAATCAAAGAGGAAATAAGACACTGTTAAAGATTAATAGTTTTTATAAGAGTATAAATGTATGCAAAGTGAAAAAAAAGAAAGACCCAGCAGCATCCAATCCTAACTGTGTGTTATCGCGTGTTATGCAATAATAACACAAAGCGTCAATACGATTTCTGCGAACACGGAGGTCTGCGAACAGGAAGGTCTGCGAACAGGAAGGTCTGCGAACACGGAGGTCTGCGAACAGCGAGGTCTGCGAACAGCGAGTTCTCCGAACAGCGAGGTCTGCGAACAGCGAGTTCTCCGAACAGCGAGGTCTGCGAACAGCGAGTTCTCCGAACAGCGAGGTCTGCGAACAGCGAGGTCTCCGAACAGCGAGACGAGGGGCAGGAATAACAGACTAGTGAGAGAGACAGACGGCCCAAATGAGAAATAAAGATGAAGGTAAGAGGCGTTGACACCATATAATACCGATATATATAAACAGATTGATTGTAAACAGAGGGGGAAAAAAAGGACAAATGTATCATATTTTCGCATCAATATAACAAACTTCCCTTCTCCCACTTCACAGGCAAAGAAGACACACAAAGAATAAAACGCATTACCAGGAAAGAATAACCCGCATAAAGGCGAAGATACCCAGGCGAGGAACGGGAGAAGACACCAGAGCCAACAGAAGAAGAAGAGGAGCTCGTAGCCACCATGTACAGCATGGACGGCTTCGATATGGAGGCGCTCAACAGGCAGTTCTTCGAGTCGGCGGCCTTCAGCGAGTTCCAGGCCGGGGTGGTCTTCGAGCCGGGGAGTGGCGGCTCCTCCCCCGCTCATCTCGACCAAGAGAACACGGTGAGTATGGGAGAGTGGTAGTGAGAGTGTGGTGGGAGGAGGGGTCTTGGGAGAGTGGTAGTGAGAGTGTGGTGGGAGGAGGGGTCTTGGGAGAGTGGTAGTGCGAGTGTGGTGGGAGGAGGGGTCTTGAGAGAGTGGTAGTGAGAGTGTGGTGGGAGGAGGTGTCTTGGGAGAGTGGTAGTGAGAGTGTGGTGGGAGAAGGTGTCTTGGGAGAGTGGTAGTGCGAGTGTGGGGAGAAGGTGTCTTGGAGGAGTGGAGTGTGGTGGGAGGAGGTGTCTTGAGAGAGTGGTAGTGAGAGTGTGGTGGGAGGAGGTGTCTTGGGAGAGTGGTAGTGAGAGTGTGGTGGGAGGAGGGGTCTTGGGAGAGTGGTAGTGAGAGTGTGGTGGGAGGAGGGGTCTTGGGAGAGTAGTAGTGAGAGTGTGGTGGAAGGAGGGGTCTTGAGAGAGTGGTAGTGAGAGTGTGGTGGGAGGAGGGGTCTTGGGAGAGTGGTAGTGAGAGTGTGGTGGGAGGAGGGGTCTTGAGAGAGTGGTAGTGAGAGTGTGGTGGGAGGAGGGGTCTTGGGAGAGTAGTAGTGAGAGTGTGGTGGGAGGAGGGGTCTTGGGAGAGTGGTAGTGAGTGTGATAGTGTCTTGGGAGAGTGATATGAGAGAGCAAGAAATGGTGTATTCGAAGATGATGCCTAAGAGGGTTTTTGCTGCATCCTAGAGAATCCTACTGCACCCTCTAGGAATGCTAGAAGGTGCAGTAATACCCCAGGTTGCAATCCTTCGACCTAGTCGTATCATGGCTGGGAACACCCAGCGCATAGGTTCGAACCCTCACCACGGCTCCTGTGACTTTGGTCTTTGATGCATGACGTCAGTGTGATTACTCTCTGTGTATATTTCGAAGCTGGAGGCATATGTTGTATATAATATATTGCTACTGTGTGTGAGAGGTGGGCACAGTGTGTGTGTGAGAGGTGGGCACAGTGTGTGTGTGTGTGAGAGGTGGGCACAGTGTGTGTGTGTGAGAGGTGGGCACAGTGTGTGTGTGAGAGGTGGGCACAGTGTGTGTGTCTGAGAGGTGGGCACAGTGTGTGTGTGAGAGGTGGGCACAGTGTGTGTGTGTGAGAGGTGGGCACAGTGTGTGTGTGAGAGGTGGGCACAGTGTGTGTGTGAGAGGTGGGCACAGTGTGTGTGTGTGTGAGAGGTGGGCACAGTGTGTGTGTGTGTGAGAGGTGGGCACAGTGTGTGTGTGTGTGAGAGGTGGGCACAGTGTGTGTGTGTGAGAGGTGGGCACAGCGTGTGAGAGGTGGGCACAGTGTGTGTGTGTGAGAGGTGGGCACAGTGTGTGTGTGTGAGAGGTGAGCACAATGTGTGTGTGAGAGGTGGGCACAGTGTGTGTGTGTGAGAGGTGAGCACAGTGTGTGTGTGTGAGGTGAGCACAGTGTGTGTGTGAGGTGGGCACAGTGTGTGTGTGAGAGGTGAGCACAGTGTGTGTGTGTGAGGTGGGCACAGTGTGTGTGTGAGAGGTGGGCACAGTGTGTGTGTGAGAGGTGGGCACAGTGTGTGTGTGAGAGGTGAGCACAGTGTGTGTGTGAGAGGTGGGCACAGTGTGTGTGTGTGAGAGGTGAGCACAGTGTGTGTGTGTGAGGTGAGCACAGTGTGTGTGTGAGGTGGGCACAGTGTGTGTGTGAGAGGTGAGCACAGTGTGTGTGTGTGAGGTGGGCACAGTGTGTGTGTGAGAGGTGGGCACAGTGTGTGTGTGAGAGGTGGGCACAGTGTGTGTGTGAGAGGTGAGCACAGTGTGTGTGTGTGAGGTGGGCACAGTGTGTGTGTGAGAGGTGGGCACAGTGTGTGTGTGAGAGGTGGGCACAGTGTGTGTGTGAGAGGTGAGCACAGTGTATATATTTTTGAGCACATATATATATAGAGCACATGTATATAGTGTATATAGAGCACATGTATATAGTGTGTGTGTGAGGTGGGCACAGTGTGTGTGTGAGAGGTGAGCACAGTGTGTGTGTGAGAGGTGGGCAAAGTGTGTGTGTGAGAGGTGGGCACAGTGTGTGTGTGTGAGGTGGGCACAGTGTGTGTGTGTGAGGTGGGCACAATGTGTGTGTGAGAGGTGGGCACAGTGTGTGTGTGTGTGAAAGGTGGGCACAGTGTGTGTGTGTGAGGTGGGCACAGTGTGTGTGTGAGAGGTGAGCACAGTGTGAGTGTGTGAGGTGGGCACAGTGTGTGTGTGTGAGAGGTGGGCACAGTGTGTGTGTGTGAGAGGTGGGCACAGTGTGTGTGTGTGAGGTGGGCACAGTGTGTGTGTGTGAGAGGTGGGCACAGTGTGTGTGTGAGAGGTGAGCACAGTGTGTGTGTGTGAGGTGGGCACAGTGTGTGTGTGAGAGGTGGGCACAGTGTGTGTGTGTGAGAGGTGGGCACAGTGTGTGTGTGAGAGGTGAGCACAGTGTGTGTGTGTGAGGTGGGCACAGTGTGTGTGTGTGAGAGGTGAGCACAGTGTGTGTGTGTGAAAGGTGGGCACAGTGTGTGTGTGAGGTGGGCACAGTGTGTGTGTGTGAGAGGTGAGCACAGTGTGTGTGTGTGAGGGTGGGCACAGTGTGTGTGTGAGGTGGGCACAGTGTGTGTGTGAGAGGTGGGCACAGTGTGTGTGTGAGAGGTGGGCACAGTGTGTGTGTGAGAGGTGAGCACAGTGTGTGTGTGTGAGGTGGGCACAGTGTGTGTGTGTGAGAGGTGAGCACAGTGTGTGTGTGTGAAAGGTGGGCACAGTGTGTGTGTGTGAGGTGGGCACAGTGTGTGTGTGTGAGAGGTGAGCACAGTGTGTGTGTGTGAAAGGTGGGCACAGTGTGTGTGTGAGGTGGGCACAGTGTGTGTGTGAGAGGTGGGCACAGTGTGTGTGTGAGAGGTGGGCACAGTGTGTGTGTGAGAGGTGAGCACAGTGTGTGTGTGTGAGGTGGGCACAGTGTGTGTGAGAGATGTGGGCACAGTGTGTGTGTGAGGTGGGCACAGTGTGTGTGTGAGAGGTGGGCACAGTGTGTGTGAGAGGTGGGCACAGTGTGTGTGTGTGTGGTGGGCACAGTGTGTGTGTGAGAGGTGGGCACAGTGTGTGTGAGAGGTGGGCACAGTGTGTGTGTGAGAGGTGAGCACAGTGTGTGTGTGAGAGGTGAGCACAGTGTGTGTGTGAGAGGTGGGCACAGTGTGTGTGTGAGAGGTGGGCACAGTTTGTGTGTGAGAGGTGGGAACAGCGTGTGAGAGGCGAGCACAGTGTGTGTGTGAGAGGTGAGCACAGCGTGTGAGAGGTGAGCACAGTGTGTGTGAGAGGTGAGCACAGTGTGTGTGTGAGAGGTGGGCACAGTGTGTGTGTGAGAGGTGGGCACAGTGTGTGTGTGAGAGGTGGGCACAGTGTGTGTGTGAGAGGTGGGCACAGCGTGTGAGAGGTGAGCACAGTGTGTGTGTGAGAGGTGAGCACAGTGTGTGTGTGAGAGGTGAGCACAGTGTGTGTGTGAGAGGTGGGCACAGTGTGTGTGTGAGAGGTGGGCACAGTGTGTGTGTGAGAGGTGGGCACAGCGTGTGAGAGGTGAGCACAGTGTGTGTGTGAGAGGTAAGCACAGCGTGTGTGTGAGAGGTAAGCACAGCGTGTGTGAGAGAGGTGGGCACAGTGTGTGTGTGAGAGGTGGGCACAGTGTGTGTGTGAGAGGTAAGCACAGCGTGTGTGTGAGAGGTAAGCACAGCGTGTGTGAGAGAGGTGGACATAGAAAACACAAATGTTTGTGAGCTGCCATGATTAATAGTACATCATATTTTATCCGTTGGCGATTATTTGACGTCAAAATACGGTGCCATATTCAATAGGACAGGTGGCTAGGCTGGATGAAGGGTTATATAGTGTACTATACACACTAATATAGACACACTATAGTGGAGGAACAGATCCGTCTACCCAGAATGTCTGTCTAACTCTGGTTTCCTTTTTGAAGTACCTGATGTTTGAGGGCGACAGCGGAGGCTCCTCTCCGTCACACAACGACCAGGAGAACACGGTGAGCACCAACGACCTCTGGATCTGTCTACACACGACGGCTCTTGAAGCGGTGTTATCGCTGTCAAAACGACGGCTTCTGCTGCCAATATATTTGTCTGGGAACTTCCTCTCTTCTCACCTACTGCTGCTGCTGCTGCTTGGGTGCTTGCATCCCTACTCTTTGTTGCAGATTATTATTGTCTTTTGGGAATGTTTTTATCTGTTATTTTCGGGGTTTTCTGAGCCTGTTTGGTTATCTTTTTATCCGTTCATACTGCTTACTGTATTCTATTTTTGTTCTCAATGTTTCTGCATGACCTGCAGCTGACTTTCTGTTTAGCCTAGTCTAACTTGTTGTCTGGTTTTCTCTTATTGTTGCTTGCTTTAGGCAATAACAAGAGGGATCTTGCTTTTGTGCATCTCTCTCTTTTTCTTAGCCAGAGTGCTCCTATTGTTGAATGTCCTTACTTAGCCTCTTACTGAATGTCCTCTCCCGACTTTATTTCTCCTTATTGTCTGAGCATATTTTCCTTCCATTCTACTGTCTGTCATCCCTTTATAATATCCATGTAAATGTCCATTTATGTTTTATTGCCTGGTATAATATTTCTATGGTCTTGGCTTATCAATAATCTGCCTCGGTTTTTTTTCAGAGATATCGTCTCCGTTTTTAGCTTATAAACGGTCCGAGGATCTAAATGAGCTAGTATGAGTACCCAATCACGTATCTGTATACGAAATCCGTTTTTAATCTGCATGTCTTAATTATCACTGATGATTATCTATAGGTTTGTAATCTTTAGTAAAACATTCACATATTTACACATTTTTTTTTATTGTTTCAGAAGGAATTGGTAAATGTCATCATCTATAGCAGCCATGGCTGTCAGTCACGCTGCTCACGCCTTATGCGTTAATCTCGTCGACAGCTGTATAAAATGAGCCTAATTTCAGATTTACTGTCATACAAATTGGCACGAGCCTATATTGTATCAAGTAGTCATTAGTAGAAACTCGTAATTTTTCCCTGTTAAATAACTGTTTCGGCATGTCGTAGCTTTTATTTCGACCACATAACAATCCATGTGTGTCTGGAGTGTTTGACAGTCACACAGTACCTTCCCAGGTGTATATGAAGTGCTTGACAGTCACACAGTACTCTCCCTGGTGTGTCTGGCGGTGTTTCCCTGCCACACAGCTCCTCCCTGGTGTGTCCGGGATGTTTCCCTGCCACACTGTCCCTCCTTGGTGTGTCTGGTGTGTTTCCCTGCCACACAGCCCCTCCCTGGTGTGTCTGGGATGTTTCCCTGCCACACAGCCCCTCCCTGGTGTGTCTGGGATGTTTCCCTGCCACACAGCTCCTCCGTGGTGTGTCTGGGATGTTTCCCTGCCACACAGCCCCTCCCTGGTGTGTCTGGGATGTTTCCCTGCCACACAGCCCCTCCCTGGTGTGTCTGGGATGTTTCCCTGCCACACAGCTCCTCCCTGGTATGCCCAGGATGTTTCCCTGCCACACTGTCGCTCCTTGGTGTGTCTGGTGTGTTTTCTGCCACACAATCCTTCTCTGGTGTGTCTGGGGTGTTTCACTGCCCCACAGCCCCTTCCTGGTGTGTTTTCCTGCCTCACAGTCCTTCCCTGGTGTGTCTGGGGTGTTTCTCCTGCCACACAGTCTCGCCCTTGTTTGTTTCCCTGCCACACAGCCCCTCCCTAGTGTTTCCCTGCCACACAGCCCCTCCCTAGTGTTTCCCTGCCACACAGCCCCTCCCTGGTGTGTTTCCCTGCCACACAGCCCCTCCCTGGTGTGTTTCCCTGCCACACAGCCCCTCCCTGGTGTGTTTCCCTGCCACACAGCCCCTCCCTAGTGTTTCCCTGCCACACAGCCCCTCCCTGGTGTGTTTCCCTGCCACACAGCCCCTCCCTGGTGTGTTTCCCTGCCACACAGCCCCTCCCTGGTGTGTTTCCCTGCCACACAGCCCCTCCCTGGTGTGTTTCCCTGCCACACAGCCCCTCCCTGTGTGCCACACAGCCCCTCCCTGTGTGTTTCCCTGCCACACAGCCCCTCCCTGGTGTGTTTCCCTGCCACACAGCCCCTCCCTGGTGTGTTTCCCTGCCACACAGCCCCTCCCTGGTGTGTTTCCCTGCCACACAGCCCCTCCCTGGTGTGTTTCCCTGCCACACAGCCCCTCCCTGGTGTGTTTCCCTGCCACACAGCCCCTCCCTGGTGTGTTTCCCTGCCACACAGCCCCTCCCTGGTGTGTCTGGAATACCATCCGTTAAGGCGTATGATTACCTTTTACTGCTCTTATATCTGGTGCATATTCCCTCTCATATCCAGGTGCTGCGCAGGAAGAAGAAGCGGCGGTGTCTGATGGCGCAGATGCAGCAGCGCCAGGCGGCCAACATGCGCGAGCGCAAGCGCATGCAGAGCATCAACGACGCATTCGAGGGCCTTCGCGCGCACATCCCGACCCTCCCGTATGAAAAGCGGCTCTCGAAGGTGCGTGGGCCCCGTGTACTCACCTAGTTGTGCTTGCGGGGGTTGAGCTTTGACCAAAGAGCCAAAGCTCAGCCCGGCCCTCCCCCCCCTCCTCCAAATACAACTATGTGTGTAGACACACTGTCACCTACACACACACCTATATACACACCTACACACACACCTATATACACACCTACACACACCCCTATATACACACCTACACACACACTTATATACACACCTACACACACACCTATATACACACCTACACACACACCTATATACACACCTACACACACACCTATATACACACCTACACACACACCTATATACACACCTACACACACACACACACACACACACACACACACACACACACACACACACACACACACACACACACACACACACAGCCACAGAGATATTAGAAAGAACTTTTTTAGTGTCAGAGTGGTTGACAAATGGAATGCACTAGGCAGTGATGTGGTGGAGGCTGACTCCATACACAGTTTCAAGTGTAGATATGATATAGCCCAGTAGGCTCAGGAATCTGTACACCAGTTGATTGACAGTTGAGAGACGGAACCAAAGAGCCAGAGCTCAACCCCCGCAAACACAACTAGGTGAGTACAACTAGGTGAGTACACACACACACACACGAGATGAAGTACTTAATGAAACGAACAGAGAGAAAGATCTAGGAGTTGATGTCACACCAAACCCGTCTCCTGAAGCCTACATAAAAAGAATAACGTCTACGGCATATGCGAGGCTGGCTAACATCAGAACAGCCTTCAGGAACTTGTGTAAGGAATCATTCAGAATATTGTATACCACATATGTAAGATCAATCCTGGAGTATGCGGCCCCAGCATGGAGCCCGTACCTTGTCAAGCACAAGACGAAGCTGGAAAAAGTTCAGAGGTATGCCACTAGACTAGTCCCAGAACTAAGAGGCATGAGTTACGAGGAAAGGCTGCGTGAAATGCACCTTACGACACTGGAAGACAGAAGAGTAAGGGGAGACATGATCACTACCTACAAAATTCTGAAGAACTGACAGGATAGATAAGCATAAACTGTTCAACACGGGTGGTACGCGAAGTACCCAAACCTGAGTACCCAAATGAGCCACAGGGACGTTAGAAAGAACTTTTTCAGTGTCATAATAGCAGACAAATGGAATGCATTAGGCAGTGATGTGGTGGAGGCTGACTCCATACACAGTTTCAAGTGTAGATATGATATAGCCCAGTAGGCTCAGGAATCTGTACACCAGTTGATTGACAGTTGAGAGACGGAACCAAAGAGCCAGAGCTCAACCCCCGCAAGCACAACTAGGTAAGCACAACTAGGTGAGTACAACTAGGCGATTATAACTAGGCGAGTACAACTAAGCGAGTACACTCACACACACTTACCTTACAGGCCTAATAGAATTCCATGATCAGGTGACAAAAATTAAGCAAGAAAGAGAAAGGTGGGCGGACTTCATTTCCTTGGACTGTTGGAAAGCCTTTGATACAATACCCCATAAAAGGCTGGTACATAAGCTGGAGAAACAGGCAGGAGTAACTAGTAAGGTGCTCCGGTGGATAAAGGAGTACCTAAGCAATAGGAAGCAGAGAGTTACAGTGAGGGGTGAGACCTCAGATTGGCGTGAAGTCACCAGTGGAGTCCCACAGGGCTCTTTACTCGGACCTATCCTGTTTCTGATATACGTAAATGATCTCCCAGAGGGTATAGACTCATTCCTCTCAATGTTTGCTGACGACGCCAAAATTATGAGAAGGATTAAGACAGAGGAGGACATCTTGAGACTTCAAGAAGACCTGGACAAGCTGCAGGAATGGTCGAACAAATGGTTGTTAGAGTTTAACCCAAACAAATGTAATGTAATGAAGATAGGTGTAGGGAGCAGAAGACCAGATACAAGGTATCATTTGGGAGATGAAATACTTCAAGAGTCAAAGAGAGAGATAAAGACCTGGGGGTTGATATCACACCAGACCTGTCCCCTGAAGCCCATACCAAGAGGATAACATCAGTGGCATATGCCAGGTTGGCCAACATAAGAACGGCATTTAGAAACTTGAGTAAGGAATCATTCGGAACTTTGTATACCGCATACGTCAGATCAGTCCTGGAGTATGCAGCTCCAGCCATAGTCCATATCTAGTCAATCATAAGACTAAACTGGAGAAGGTTCAAAGGTTTACCACCAGACTAGTACCCGAACTGAGAGGTATGAGCTACGAGGAGAGACTACGGGAATTAAACCTCACTTTGCTGGGAGACAGAGGAGTTAGGGGGGGGGACATGATCACATATAAGATTCTCAGAGAAATTGACAGGGTAGATAAAGACAGACTATTTATCACCAGGGGCACACGCACTAGGGGACACAGGTGGAAATTGAGTGCCCAAATGAGCCAGAGAGACGTTAGAAAGAATGATTTCAGTGTCATAATAGCAGACAAATGGAATGCATTAGGCAGTGATGTGGTGGAGGCTGACTCCATACACAGTTTCAAGTGTAGATATGATAGAGCCCAGTAGGCTCAGGAACCTGTACTCCAGTTGATTGACAGTTGAAAGGGGGACCAAAGAGCCAGAGCTCAACCCCCGCAAGCACAACTGGGCAACTAAGTACACACAAAAAAAATCAGATCCTAGTAACAGTATGGAACAAAACGTATAATTTTCCCTTGTAATGTTACCTCTGCGTGTAAGTTTCTGTGTTCAGTATACCCCGACCAGTATAACTTTCAGCGGTCCACCTTCACTAAACACGGTAGTCAGCGAGGTTATAGAAACGCTACTCACTAACACAGTGTTAGCGCTTTCCCCTGACCACTCAGCACCTCCCCCTGATCATTCAGCATCTCCCCCTGACCACTCAACACCTCCCCCTGACCACGGTGCGCCTTGGGCTCTCCGCAGGTGGACACCCTGCGCCTGGCCATCGGGTACATCAGCTTCCTGGCAGAGCTGGTGGCGAGCGACCGGGCGCCCGACCCTCACCTTCACCCGCCTAACCATAACGACGCCAACAGGAAGGTCATCGTCAGGAGTTCTAGAAGTGAGTCGCTGCTGTTTTGAGGGAGGGAGGGAGGGAGGGGGAGGGGCAACTATCAGGAGAAAATACCAAGCCTTTACTATATAGCACTATGAAGGGGTCAGGATAAGGATTATATTCTCAGATCTAGGAGACTCGCTCTTGGGGGGTCAGATGTGTGAGTGAAGATGACACCAACTCATAGTTTAGTATATTGGAAATTCTAACTCTTTTGTGTTATACTTAAATATATATTTTTATAGTCATTTGCCTAAAGTAAATATTTTACCTAAATTGGTATCTTAACTTTGCTGTTTCAAGCATGTTATATCTTATTTTCTATCCCATACCTACCTTCCTTCCCCTCCCCCTCCCCCTCCCTCTCTACATCTCTCTTTCTCACACAACTCTCTCTCACTCTCTCTCTCTCAGTCTCTCTCTCTCTCAGTCTCTCTCTCTCTCATTCTCTCTCTCTCTCTCTCTCTCATTCTCTCTCTCTCTCTCTCTCTCTCTCTCTCTCTCTCTCTCTCTCTCTCTCTCTCTCTCTCTCTCTCTCTCTCTCTCTCTCTCTCTCTCTCTCTCTCTCTCTCTCTCTCTCTCTCTCTCTCTCTCTCTCTCTCTCTCTCTCTCTCTCTCTCTCTCTCTCTCTCTCTCTCTCTCTCTCTCTCTCTCTCTCTCTCTCTCTCTCTCTCTCTCTCACTCTCTCTCTCTCACTCTATCTCGCTCACTCTTACTCACACATTTTATTTATAATATTCTATATAGGATATATCCCTCCCTCCCTCCCTCCATCCCACCTACTATCCCTCAGTTGCATTAACTAACTCTCCATCCCTCTGGCAGCGAGTGTGGATAGCGTGCCACACTCCCTCACCTGGTCCCACGTCCGCCCACACGTTATTAATGGCAAGGTGTCCGCCAAGACATGGATCCCGGAGCCGCAGAAGCGCCAGTGAACATTCGGTGAACACTCGAGGAACACTTCATGAACCCTAATTGAAGATTTAGTGAACCCTCAGTGAACAGTGAAGTTAAGTGAACAATGAATTGTCAATGAACACTTGGTAAACCTTTGGGGAAACCCTGGTCGAACTTTCGGCGAACACTCGGGGTTGAACACTAGGAGAATGCGTATTGAACGTTGTGAACGCTTGGTGAACATAGTAAGAGTGAATATTGTGGTCACTTGGTTCGTGCTGTGAACGTCTGGTGAACGCTGTAAGCTCTTGGTGAATAGTATGAATCTTCAGAACATTTTACAAAATCATGAACACTCGTGAGCATCTAGTGAACATACGGCGCTATAACATATAACAGTGAACACTCAGGGCGTGGCACTGTCACCGAGGCACTTGGGGCGTGGCACTTACTGAACTCAGTGACTTTCACAGTGGGGGGGGGACTTACAAGAGCAGCAATGCAATTTGCATGCAACAACAATCACGAGGAACTGAACAAAATGGCGATCAAGACCTCTTAGAGTGACTATGTCTGCGTATCCACAACAATGGAACTTACATATATACGAGAACATTTCAACTGCTCCAAAAGTTCTGAAGTTGATTACGTTCAGCAATGAATGTGAAGAGTAATGAAAGCGCTGGACATTGAACTTTTGCATTGGCTTCTAGAGAACGTGGGAGAATGTTCTGCCGTTAGTGGTGAACACACCGCAAGCTTCAAAAGTTCGATACAAAGAGTTCGATTCAATGTCCAGTCAATTCCTATTTTCATTGAGATGTTCGAGTTTCAAGACTCTTTGATGGCACCGATGGTTAGAAGTATTTAGTGTTAATATGTCGAGTTTTTCACTCTGTGCGTGTGTGTGTATATATGAATGTGTGATTTGCATATGCGTGACTGGGACTGTCAGTCTCTCCTTGGAGAGACTCCCCTGGGAGTCGACCGGGGGCCTTGGGAGTCGACCGGGAGCCCCGGGAGTCGACTGGAGGCCCTGGGAGTCGACTGGAGGCCCTGGGAGTCGACCGGGGGCCTTGGGAGTCGACCAGGGGCCCCTGGGAGTCGACCGGGAGCCCCGGGAGTTGACTGGGGGCCCCGGGAGTCGACCGGGGGCCCTTGGGAGTCGACTGGGGGCCCCGGGAGTCGACCGGGGGCCCCGACTGGGGGCCCCGGGAGTCGACTGGGGGCCCCGCCCCGGGAGTCGACTGGGGGCCCCGGGAGTCGACCGGGGGCCCCTGGGAGTCGACCGGGGGCCCCGGGAGTCGACCGGGGGCCCCTGGGAGTCGACCGGGGGCCCCGGGAGTCGACCGGGGGCCCCTGGGAGTCGACCGGGAGCCCCGGGAGTCGACCTGGGCCACAACACATTTGAGGTATTACACAAAACATTGCTTTAGGTTGTGTGGGCATGCCAGTTACACCGCTTTTTCTACGCTTACTCTACCAAAGATTAGTAACCAAAGATTAGTGACCACAGCTCAGACACCATGGGCGGGTATAGGCCTGTAGAGCGATCGCTCGGGTGTGGCTCCCAGCTGTTCGTTGCCTAAAGACAACCAAGTAATTATAAAAAAGGCTTGGCGCCTAATTATAAAAAGGCGCCAGGCGTTAAATATCACTAAGGATGCCAGTTCTAGAACAAAGGCGCATAAGGCGAACGATATCAAAGGTATCTGATTCACCAAGGATTCTATCGAGGGACAAGTGACCGCGAGGGACGGTCGGGAAGCAAGACACACGCTCGTCCTGGAAGTCAGGACATTCAACAAGAATGTGAACGACTGTAAGAGGGACAATGTAGTTTGGACAATAAGGAGCAGGGCTGCGCTCCATAAAGTGTCCGTGAGTTAAATGCGTATGGCCAATACGTAACCTTGCCAATGCCGTTTCCCACCGCCGGTTATGGTGGTAGGAGGAAGGCCATGGGAATGCACAACCCCTTAAGAGCACGCAGTTTGTTACCAGTAACAGAAGACCAACAACCTTGCCAACGGGCAAGGATGGAGGAATGAATAAGTGGGTAAAAGTCGGAATAAGGAGCACCTTTACTGAAGATGGGACAAGTCTTAAACCTGCTGGAAATAAGAAACAACCCATGTTGAATTTCAACTACCACAGGATGGACTGGATTAAAAAAAAACTCCAGAGCCATGAGGGCACTGCGAGAGTCGACTACATCAACAAAGGAAGATTGAAAGCAGTTGAAGAGCATACAAAATAGCAAAAAGTTCTGCCGTGAAGATGCTAGTCTCTTGGAGGCAGGCGACACATATAGGTGTGGTCAAGAAAAAAGAACAGAGTAGCCTACACCGTCTGCAGACTTAGACCATCGATGACGACGGAAATGGAGCGGGAGTATGAAGAAAAGTATGCAAGGAAAAGTAGTTTCAGAACTGTAGAAGGGGGATAAAAGTTTTAGTCACGTGGGTCAAGGTTTTACAAAAACTTCGGAATGGGGACCTTCCATGGGGGCCAAGGAGGGAACGACACGAGGATAAACATTGGTAACACGAACTGAAAGAGAACCTTGCAAAGGAGGCAACCGGACAGAAAGAGGGGTAGGTGGTGAAAGGGGAACAGGAACCACAAGAAGGGTCAAGATAAAAAAATACAAGTGTGCCATTGAAACATAACTGACTCACCGAGCACATGGCTTCTTCAGCCGAGTCTTAATTTGTAAGATGCATGTCTATAGAGAAATTGGCTTGTATGACCTCTGCCGGGAAAGGGGAGGGGGGGGGGGGGAATGGGGAGGAGGTGGGGTCTGCTTAAGCAGCAGACTGAGATGACAGGAAGTCGCCAAGAAGTCTTGAGGAATTTTATATACCGATCACATAGCGTTGACTCATTCATACCACACCATCCAGTTCGCTCCATTTGTCACAACGTACAAATACCCAATGTTTTAACCTTAAAAGGGGCCGCACGAACCCAAGCCACTCTCCAAACCTACTGCTTTTCACAGCACCCCAAGCCACCCACCCAAGCCGCACCTCTTCACAGTACACTACACCTGTTACATTGGTTACCATTACGTCGCACTGAGAGGACAGGACGTGAACACGTCCAACCTCAAGACTCTGGGTCAACCACCAAGACCCAACAGCTGATGAGCCTCTGGAACGATGGTTCCTGCCTAGACAGAGTTGATGTAATGCCCAAAATATATATATATATATATATATATATATATATATATATATATATATATATATATATATATATATATATATATATATATATATATATATATATATATATATATGAATGAAAACTCACACCCCAGAAGTGACTCGAACCCTAGTCACATACAGTCAATTTCTCTATATGCGGGACTCGCATATAGTCCTGGGGACCATTCAGGCTTGTTCGCATATATATATATATATATATATATATATATATATATATATATATATATATATTAAAAAGTGTATAATACGCAAGTTAAATCTCACAAATGTATACTTCTGTATTAAACTTTATTTAGTACTGGCCTGATACCAGTGCTCAACCCCCCCACGCCCCCCCTTTCCCGGGACCCCTCCTCCCCCCCCCCTCCCAGATGTAGAGTATACCTACGTGAGGTAAACGAGAAGAAATGATATAAAATGCAGTGAAAAGTGATGACATTTAGTTAAATTAAACAAAATGAAATGAAATGTAATGAAAAAAAGTGACATGAGAAAATACATTAGAATTTGTAACATGAAATTAATTCAACAGTCGTAACCAAGCAAGATGAAATACAATGACTTGATATGAAATCAAATTATATTGATGTGAGCTTCTTTAGTTTTTCCTGTGTGAGCGTGATGTCTACCGTGATGTCTATCAGCATACAACGCCAACCAGTAGATTGACGTCTTGCGTAGCATCAGCAAATAAGGTCAGATGTTGCATGACGTCACGGTACAAGGTGTAATGTCAGGGCAGCTAATAAGTGACGTCAGGCGTAACAACCTAGATGTGACATCAGCAAAGCGGACGAAGAGTGACGTCAGAACAGCAGCTGCGTGGAGTTGGAGGCCGAAGGAGAAAGAGAGAGAGAGAGGCGAGGGGACAGCAGTCCCACTGTACACATTCTGTGATGATATGTTATATGTTGTTCACGTGCAATATATTATTAACACGTCTCTCGCCTGCATTTTTCTTCCATCCCCCCCCCCCTATCACTCGGTAAGAAAAAACAGCATCGCATCATCTAGCCGATCAGCTGGGCGTGTAAACACAACCCAGCCATGTAAACAACTCCTTATGTTAAGCTAAACTTGCAAGCAAACACTGAGAAGAGGCGGATCGAACTGCTTGCAGAACGGGAGACGACAACGGGAATCCGTTCTGGTCGTCGCAGTCGAAGGATACCTAACAGGTGAGAGAATTAGACAAATTGCTAATACATTTTATAATCTAATACGCATACACATTTGACTTAAAAAAGATTAATAAGATTGATTTTTTATTTATTTATTGATTTTATTTATTTATATACAAGAAGGTACATTGGGTTAGAGAGAATACATAGCATAGTATTTACAATCTTGTAAAGCCACTAGTACGCTCAGCGTTTCGGGCAGAACGATTTATTTTGATTCAGCTCACAGTGCAATATTCATACAGCTACACTTGGTTTCTATCAAGCAATAGTCCACAACAAATATATTTAATCAGATGGCCACGAAGGAAAATTAAATAAAATGTTTGGACTCTTTCGTGTATTTCAACACATAAAGTAATGCTAAAGTTCATGCAATACTAACATATTCCGAGAAGCAGACGAGATGACGGAATTTCCCATCATTTATCAATGGATTTGTCTTTGCGGTCAAATGTGGTAAAATTTATCTAGGATTTGTCGTCGATGGCGGTCGACGGAAGCCGGCGGTGCACGGGTCTACCCTATTACAAAGGGGGGGTGGGGAGAGTGTTTATAAATAGCCTAATAATGCTAAACAGAGAATACTAATAAAGGAGTTAGGCTATACCCGGGCCCCTGGGAATTAATCCCTCAAGTCAATTAAAAAAAAAAAACATATCTAGGTAATGACCATCTAACTCTAGACAAGGGAGGTGGTAAACTCCAATTAAAACTCTGAGTTGCGTGGTGACCGCCGGCCAGGTCGGACGTTCCTGAGGTCTCTCCGCTCCTGGCTAGTGTTTACGTTGGGTGATTGCTTGTTTGCCCTGCTGGTGGTGGTTTGCTACTGACAGGGTGACGTTTGCCTTTGCCATTGGGACGTCTCGCCCTCCAATGAAGAGGACGTTGTCGGCTGGTCTCGCGTTTACGGTACCGGTGGACCATCCATTGGTTGGTGTCGCCCTGGTGGACGTGCTACATGTACAGCTGTCTGACCTGGTGGGCATCCAGCTGCTTCAGGGCCACCGTGCTGTGGTCAAGTTCCGCCTCCAGGCTGCCTTTCAGGCGTTTCTCGAGCGGTGTGAGGGGCGTGTTTACCCTCTCCCTGATACTGCTGGCACCGTTAAGGTGGTGAATCTTAGTGTCACCTTGACGTCTGTGGCGGTACATGGTGCCCCCTTCGAATTTCAGGACGACTTTTTAACCTCCTGTTTTGAACGATTTGGGACAGTGTTAAGTGTTCGTTGGAACAAGGTCGTTGCCGGCCACTGTGTTGGTATGCTTGACGGCTCCCGCACCCTGACGATGTCGTTGAAGTGTAGTGTACCGTCGTCGATGTCCGTGTTGGGTTACATGCTCCGCTGCTTGTACCGGGGTCAACCACGCACCTGTTATCGGTGTGGTCACGAGGGTCATCTGGCTGCAGCGTGCGATGTGGGAGCAACTGGTCGGGTGCATGTTCTTCGTGCGGAGGATTTTCCGCCACTGTTGCGTTCGGACGGTTCTGAGGACGGAGTGGGTGCTGTGTCTGAGGCGCCTGATTGCCTGTCTGCTGCTCCGCCTGTTGAGGCGGGTTCTACGGCGACACGTCAGGTGACAGCTGTGGCCTCTGGGGTTGTTGAGCCGGTGTGTGTGGGTGTCTGGCCGTTGCCTGCACTGCGTGTAGTGAAGGGTGTTTCGGTGGAGGTCCATGTCCCGCCCCCGCCTGTGGATGTGATACCGGCTCCCGGGGACGCGGGTTCTGCTGTTTTGGAGGGAGTGCTTCAGCAA